GTTGTTTTATGATGTTGGGGAGAGAACCCTGGACCCTGCACGTACTATGCAAGTGTCTTACCACGGAGTTATCTATCCAGCCTGGGGTCAGGTTTGCAACATTCTATAAGAACACAAACCTGGGTCTGGGTTACCTCTCTCAAAATGATGTTTTCTAGCTCTATCCACTTGTCTGCAAATTTCAAGATGTCATAATTTTTTTTTCTGCTGAGTATACTCCATTGTGTAAATGTACCACATTTTCTTTATCTGTTCTTTGGTTAAGGTGGCATTTAGGTTGTTTCCAGGTTCTGGCTATGACAAACAATGCTGCTATGAACATAGCTGAGCACATGTCCTTGTGGCACAATTGAGCATCCTTTGGATATATACCCAAAAGGGGTATTGCTGGGTCTTGAGGAAGGTTGTTTCCCAATTTTCTGAGAAATCACCATACTGGCATCCAAAGGGGTTGTACCAGCTTGCACTCCCACAAGCAATGCAGAAGTGTTCCCTTTTCCCCACAACCTCTCCAGCATAAGCTGTCATCATTGTGCATGTACTCACCCATAAGTGGTTTTTAAACATAAAGCAAAGAAACCCAGCCAACAAATCACAGTCCCAGAGAACCCAGACAGCAATGAGGATCCTAAGAGAGACTTACATGCATCTAATCTACAAGGGAAGTAGAAAAAGACAAGCTCTCCTGAGTAAATTGGGAGCATAAGGACCATGGGAGAGGACTGAAAGGGAGGGGAGAGGCAGTGAGGGAAGCAGAGAAAAATGTAAAGCTCAATAAAATCATTTTTTATTAAAAAAAAGAACACAAATCAGAAGAGTCACCTGAAAGGGACAAGACATGTATTCATGTCACAAGTGGCCTGTCTGTGGCTCAGAGAAATAAATATCCCAATGCCACTGAATGAAACACTCTACAAACCAATGAGATAAGAATTGTATTCTTTTAGGTTTGGGGAGAAAGCTCAGTTGGTAGGATGCTTGCCCAACACGCATGAAGCCCTGAGTTCAATCCCCATCATCACATAAACTGGGTGTGTAAACTTCAGTGTTGTATATACCTGCAGTCCCAGCTTTCAGGGGCAAAGATGAAAAGTAGAGGCAGGAGAGTCAGAAGTGCAAGGCCATCCTCAGCTACATAGCAAGTTTAAGGCCAGCCTGGGCTACATGAGACAATGCCTTTTAAAAAAATATTCTTCCTTATTAGGAGCACATATCAAAGTCCAATCATTTTGGGGTTGGAGAGATAACTCAGCAGTTAAGCACTCACTGGCCAGGCGTGGTGGCACACACCTTTAATCCCAGCACTCAGGAGGCAGAGGCAGGTGGATTTCCTGAGTTCAAGGCCAGCATGGTCTACAGAGTTCCAATATCCAGGGCTGTTAAACAGAGAAACTCTGTCTCTTAAAAACAAAACCAAACTAACCAACCAAAAGAGCGCTCACTCAGAGGACCCAGGTTCAGAATTTACAGCACCCACATTGTGGCTCGCAGCATCCATGGCCCCAGTTCCAGAGAATCTGGTGCCCTATTCTGCCCTCTGCAGGATCCAGGCACATGTGGTGCTCAGACACAAATGCAGGGAACACTCAAACACATAATTTTTTAAAGTAATAAATCTTTAAAAAAAACTGTCCAATCACTTGCACCGTTCTTTACTCCCCACACACTGTCTGACCAAATGTTATCTATGGGCTCTGAGCTCTGAGCACAGAGACTTACTTCCCGTGCCTTGAGCAATGCCTTGCTTAGCATTAGGCTCAGCACAGCCTGTTTTCACTGGGATGTCCTCCAGGCCCGTAATGAAGCTATTACCGGCATCATTCTGTGGATACTGCAGCTCTGAGAGGAAGGGTGGCTTGAAGACACTGGCTGGGAAGAGCAGAGAGAGGGTTCAGCCCCGGACTCTGGACCACAAATCCAGTAAAAGGCCAGAGCTGCAACATGCGCGTCAGAATGTGGTGGGACACATGGGGAGGGGCTGTCTTGGAAGAAGGCAGCTCTGGAGCAATGATTCGGGGGTAGGGATGGGGGGCATGCCTGTCCTTCCTCACTCTTAGCCTTGCCACAACTTAACGGTGCCCCCGCCCTGCTGATTTGCCCAACATCCTCGGGACCAAGTCTGGATGCGGATACCTGTTCACACAGCCCCAGATTCCTCGCCAGAGCTGTCCAAAGACATCGCCCCAGGGATCTAAGAAATGCAAGGTGAACTGATTTGAAATACCCAGGATAAGGTTGGCAAGCAGTATGTGACCCCTGCCTGTCAATCAATGAGCCGTTTGCTCCATGTCTTTCTGCTCTCTCTTCAGCCTCCTGCCTCAGATGACTAAAGGAGCCCCTCGCCTGGCCCATTCCTGCCTCCTCGCCAGTCCTTCCCTGCTCAGTGGTCACTTTCCCACCCTGGCTTCTACCTCTTTGCCCTCATCTCACATACAAAAGTCCCTTTGCTTGCTTTCTGCAATCTTTTATGCCTTTTTAATAGACATCTTTTTCACTACTTCTTAAGCCGAGGGTTAAGGAAGCCAAGGGTTTGGGAAGCCACAGAATGTTTACATGCACCTTCCCTGCCAACCCTTTCTAAATGAATACTTGGGGGACAATGGATTCAAAAACCAAGTCACTTGAACATTTAACATAAGGTTTGCAACTGTGGACAAACATTGTGGCCCACTCAGGGTCAGCCGCCACTCCCTCTTGCCCTATCTGCTATTTGAGGCACGTTAGTAGAGCTCCAGGAGGACCGGGCTACAAGGCACAAGCCGGACATTTAAGCTGGTCTCAGACCCTGCCCTTCCCCCTCCTAAAGCCAATAGCCTCTGTCCCGGCCTGTCAGCTTCCAATCGGGGTGAATTCTAACAATGACTCTAAAATTCATGCAGCAGCCTGGGAGAGAATAGCCAATTAAATGCCTGGCATTCACCTTCGCTTATCCAGTGCAATTAATTTCCAAAATGGCAGCTACTAGAACTTGCAAGGGCATTCTACAGCCACAGGGATTATTTCCCAGGTCCACAAAGTGAAGCGGCAGAACCGTTCGGTCTACTTGCCGACTGCATTTCTGTCTGTAATACAGATGTTCGATTCACTAATACTGCCTCACACAGAACCGTGTTGACAAGGCACTTTCTGAGTTTCACAGGGCACAGCAGAGCATTCATTAGTCATGCTGCTACCAAACCCGCCTCATGATGTTTTTCAAAACCCATCTTCAGCGACTAAGTGTGCATAACAATCAAGATGGAGTCCAATCAAATTTAATAGTCTAAAATAAACCTGTCCTCTGCACCAAACCAGCCTGGAGGACGCAGTAGCTTCTAATCAGTGAGCCCCAAGTGCCTGGAAATGCAGGCAGGAAAAGATGGCCGGAGAACCCATGCCAAAGCTGTCAGAGCACAGCCAGAACATGTCACAGGATGGTGTCCAGGTGAACTGACAGGTGCCACGGGGCCTGCACTGCAGAGACCCTGGATCTAGCGGTACCAAGGGTAACAAAATGGAAACCAAAACACCTATGTTTCAAAAAACAAAAACAATCACATAGATCAGCATGTCCTCAACTCCTCACTCACCCCCACCCTGCCCACACACAGCTCCTGTCCCAGGGCTAAGAGGAGCCAGCATCGCTAAGGCACTGACACCAATTTCAGGTCTCTCATTCTCTCCAAGTGACAGGTGACAGGGACCACACGGAAGATGTTGCTGATGGATTTCATTCTATGGCAAGCCAAGGTTTCTCAAACAAGTGAAGACAGTGAGGTCCCCAAGTGAACTCCCAGTGGCCCAGATTCATCCCAGGCATGAAGGGATCAAGTGACTTCAGCTCTCCTTGGCTGAGTTCCCAACTCTGTCCACAGAACCTTGGCCCCAGGGATTGGTGAATCCACCTCTATCCTGACTCCAGGGATTGGCAGGCAGCAGAGAAGGAACAGAGTCCAGCTAGCAAGGCAAGGAAGTGCTAAAATTGACTGTCATGAGGACCCAGAGGAGAAGACAGATTGGCAGAGGGGGGAGGGGACAGTGTCCCCAGAGAATTCCACAAACCCTGAATCACTGGGTAAAGCTTGAGAAGGTGGATGAGACAGGCAATCAATGTACAGCCAAGGCAAGGAGCCCCCCAAGTTCAAGGCTACATTCAGGACAACTAAAGCACTGGATGAAAAACACAAGGAGGAGAGGTGGCAAATGCCAGTCCAACAAAGCCGAGTCACTCACTTAGCTTCTAACGTCTGAAGGACTTCAGCCCAAGCAGTGAGCAGGGAAGCCGGCAGTGATTCCATACACAGCCCCGGGACCTGGTGTAGGGAGAAGCATCCAGACTCCAAAGCCAGCCAGGTCTCAAAGGCCAGTCCTCCGTTATTGCCTTGTGTACCAATCCTTAGTTCAATGCAGCATCCTCTCCCCCTGGTTCCGTCGCAGGTTCCGTGGGAGAATGCACCTCACCGAACAACATTTCCTAAAGTGTTAAAAATTCTCCTGTGGTTTCCAGAAATTGCGGCCGCCTGCCTTAAACTCTGCAGGGTGAAGTGCCTTGGTTGTTGCAACTTTCCGTGAGGCAATTAAAAATAAAAAGTTTTATAACAGGCCATCTCTGCCTGGGAGACGAGGTTTCCAGACAGTCTGTACAGAAATGTATGTATATCTGTCTGTCTGTCTGTCTGTCTTTCACTGCTTGCTATCTGCCACCCTGTCCCTCCCCCCCTCCAGTGGAATGATACAATAATGCTCTGCACATCACACCCCTCTATCACTGCCCCTTTCTTTTCTACCAGAGAGCATCACACTGATGACGGTACTCCTGATTAGGGCACGCACCTCACC